GGCGTCACCGGTGACGTGGTACGACTTTGGGTGTCGCAAAAAAACAACAAAAAAAAACAACAATATGTTACAAAAAAAAAAAAAAAAAAAAAGCAACTAGAGTTAAGGGTTCAGGGCGAGGGAAAAGTACGCTGAGGAGGGGGAAGCAGGCGGAATGGTGTAGAGAGGGGATGTTCCCTACTCTCCTCTCCAGCAATCCGTCTGCTTCCTCCTCCCGTCCTACCTTCAACGGCGTGCGCCAGTGTCACTTGTTCGTGACTTACAAGACATCTACAAAAAATATCGTTGTTGGTGGTAGTCGAACATAGAAAGGAGCACGCCAAACTTTTTTAGAATCGGACCTCAAGGAGCTCGTCAACGAGACTGATGATTCAGGTAAGATGTGGCTCTTCATATTTCTCTTAGTGAAAATTGCTTACAGCGTATTGATTCCGTAAAATTATATCCAAGGCCATTGGAATAGTCTGCAATCGACGGGTGTTATAGTCGAATAACTGGTGTTCGAAAAGAAAAGTCGCATAATAAACGGCTTGCCAAAATTGGCGAGCTCATGTTGCAAGCAGGAATATTCCCGGAATATTTATTTAAGTTGAGAAATGTTAAATACCGTCATATTAACATAGATATTGGCTTGTCTAGAAAATTCTTACTTAAATCTCTCAGGGGAAGTTCAGTAAACCATTCATGTATTAGTCTTTCAAAGCATCTCAATCGCTTGGTTACTAGTAAGGATAAACGTCAATAAAAAAATGTTAACACGATTAAATTTTTTTATTGTGTTAATTAATTGATTAATCGGTTTCGCTTATTACCATAAATAGTATATTAAAAATGAGAAATGATATATTTTGCTTTTGCTGAATATAGTTGTAAACGGCGTAATATACAATTCAGGATTTTAAATCGACCTTGATGTGTAGTTGATATCAGCCAAAAGGCATTCACACTCCCAATTTATTACTCCAGCCACGGAGGCAAAGAGGTTCCTTCATATTCTCCGGCAATAGCGAACTGCTTTGATTATGCGCTAAACGGTCTCTCGCCAGGCGCTGAACGTTACTGGGACACGTATAACTTCCACTTGCATTACGGCAAAGAAATGTCTATCATTGTTGATCTCTTCAGGACTTTGAGGGAATGCGAAGAGGTTGTTATTTTATTCACTAGGGTACTTGTTTTTTCTATGCTTATTCAACCTTTTACGCTTCTTCAAATCTATACTAATTATTTCTAAGAACAATATTAATTTCAGACAATAATTTTTGTTTCCACAGATTTTTAATGAATTTGAGTAGTGCAGCGATAAGATGCCCTATGAAAGCCTCACTGTATTTTTCGAGTAAAAGTCCTAGCCGATCCTCGAATTGCACATGGAGAAGGTGGGCTCACAAAGGACGCCTCGCTATTCCTCAAACATCCGCAGGGTAGCTAAAGCAACCGACCAAGAAAACCTACCCATCACAAAAATACAGCGAAACCCGTGTCGACGTCCTCACAGAATGCGCGGTGGGTTAATCACTTTGATCCACAGAGCGCTCCAAGCGAATGACGCAGCTCATAACACTGTTTAAATCGAAAACGCGATCTGCGCAGGACAATATTTCTTTTTTCTGCGCGTGCCCGGCAGGGTTCCTTATGAGCCCTGAAAAAATACGAAGTTAAACTGGCCCAGTTTTCTAGCTTAGTACATGACCAAATCTTGTGCGGCGTTTCGAGAATTGGCGTTGCACTAATTGGGTCAAATTGAGCTAAATTCATATTCGACTTATATGCATCACCAAAACATTTGCCCGCTTCGTACTAGGGACATAAAGGTCTCATTTATGTAAAAATAATTTAAACACTACCTGTTCACTTCATCTTGTGATAGGTAACCATTTCGTGAAAAGCCTCAACAGTCTATGCAAAGTTAATGGCAGCGAGCATCGAAATCATTACGTGACATTAAAAAAACAATTATTCACTCACACAGCATACGAAAGCAGGAAATCTCGGGTTATTATATCTAAATATGAAAAATAATAGAACGTATAATCATGACCCATGTTTGCATACTTTTTTTTAATTGTGGTACTTTATTATATTGCAGGTTCCAGGAGAAAGATAAACTCATCCGACGGTCCTATTCTCTTCAGAGGACGTCTTCTATTCTGCAGCTGTCCAAGTCCAGGTGGAGGACCTGTCGGTGGATGTTGGTGACCTTATCCATGACTTCAGCCTCGTAATTTATTGGACTTTTAATATCAAATATGCAACAGGGATCAAGTCCACCTTGGCTCTCTTTGAGCGCACGATTGGGCTGAAAGAAACACCACTGGAAAGGATTGCCCTGAAGCTTCTTGGCAGGCTACAAGCTTTTACTAATTACTATTTTTTTAAGGTTTTGACCCTTCTCAAGTTTTTGGATTTTACAATAAAAATGTGGTTGACAATATTGTTGGCTGACATGACTGGCAGGACTTTTTTTAGATGTCTGGATTATGTGTTTCCAAAAGTTTTAGTGAAATTTTGATGCCGGCGCATTGCCCGTAAGTATTATTCTCTGATCCCTGAAACCTCCTCGAATTCAGAAGTCTCTCGTGTGACAGCTGACCTCAGGAATCGCCCCACCAGCACACCTGAACGAGCCAGTTAGCTGAGTCTCGGGGTCTGAAAAAGTGCCCTCACTATTTGGAGCTCCGCGAGACCCATGGTGTCCAAAAGCGACCACAAAAGTGGGGAGTCGCGGAAAACCATGGGGGTTGTGTATAGTGTCCGACGGCACTCGCAATTATGGGGATAACGCGAGTCTCTAGGTGCAAAAAAAGAGCACCAAAAAGCACCCAATTTAGGGGGGATCAAGTGATTCCCTGAGAGTTCTACGCGGTACTAAATAATGCCTGAATTTACGGGTGTCACATGAGTACCTGGGTGTAACAAAAGGCGTCAAAAAGCACCCTATTCAGAAGGGATCCGTTGACTCCCTGAGAGTTGAAAGTGGTTCCAAATAATTCATCTAATTAGGGGTGTAACATAAGTACCTGAATGTAACAGAGGGCGCCAAACAGCACCCGAAGTAAGGGGTGTCGGTTAAGGCCCGTGGACTTTGAGGGGGGTGCTAAGTGATCATGTATTTCTGGGGAGTACTTGAAGTCCCCAACTTGAGAGGATGCCACAAACACCCGAGGGGAGTCACATATGGGACACAGTCTAACTCCCCTGAGGGGAGTACCCGTGTACACCCTTTTTTCTTAGAGTGTACGTTGGCAGTCTTCACGCGGCCCATTGTAAGCGGGCGCCGCTCTTGCCACTACACCCTCTAGAACACTGTAGACACGCGGTTTCTGCTTCTCGGGGTCAGATTCGTCATCCACTTCGCCATCTCACGAGGAGCCGCCACCGCGCGCGGCCACAAGGTCGAAATTGAAAGGTTCCAATGCGATCTCGGAAGCGGGCTGTCCCCCTTGGTAGGAGATTATTTGGTGCTGCATGCGCGCTTTCGAATGCAAATGTGCGGAGTAGAATGCATTCTGATATAGTCGTTGATTGGTTAAGCGTGCGTGAGAAGCTCCTCCAGCGAAGTCCTCAAGCAGAGTGACCGCTCGAGAGGATCCAGGGAGGAACTCACCTCCTCGCCAGCGTTCGCTCTGCTAAAATAGAAAGAGTTCAGGGTTTTGCGGGAGATGTGGGTCTTGCACTCTTATTCTGTTATCAGCCGTTGGGGAGAAGATCCAACCGCTGCGCTCCAAGTGGCTAACTTTAGAACTACACCCATGGGGACAAAAATAACAATGACGCAGCGCTCTGCTGCCGGAGTGGGCCTCGTTCGCATCCTCCGACGACTGCTTTGGAAGTGATCCGGCTTGTCGTGTCCCGCCAACGTAACTCCGTTTATTGTCAACGCATTTCACGTTATGTAAGACTAAGACGTGGTCCACAAGTCTTGTGCTGGGTAAACACCGAGCTCTGGGGAAAACAAGCTGCAAAGACCGCCCGCTAATGTTGATCTCCTCGCCTAGTATTTGATATTCTGCTGGCTTCGTATTCACCTCGTTGCTTTCTTTTCACCTCCTGGTCTGAGCGCTTGAGCCCCCTTTGCCACATCATTGAGGCCTGCACCTCCTCTTGATGCGCCTCCTTGCTTGAGCTACGTTCAATGGACAAAAGGGCTAGGTGGTGGCCCTCTAAATACTATGCTTTTAAAATGAAATGTCCAACGCGTGGTCTGACCTTGATTGGTTTAGCCCGTGATAGCTAACACACCGAAAGACGACAAACGCCGTGACTTTGATCATTTAGCGCTACTTGATAGACCTCACCGCTTCGCAGCATCAACTACACTCTCCGACTTGAAACAAAATGTAGGCGGTCTCGCCCCCAAAGTGGAAGCAACTCACCTCGAATGCCAGGGAGCGGAAAGAACTTAAATCGAGAGATGTCCCTCAAAAATCAAGTGTAATTTTGATAATAAAAGCTTACTACTTTTCTCCGAACTGAAAACGACATGAGCCGACCACACCCGCAGTTTTTGAAGTCTTGAATGGTTTTTAGTTGTCTAGGGCTGTCATTTAGACCGAACACGTCCACCTTCTTTTTGAATATTCTCTGATAGTACTGCCACATTGTTGAAATTTATTTTTGAGTTCATCATGAGTAAGTCAGTGAGTAAAAGGATCTCACTGTCTGGTTTTCTAAAATGCCAAAACGCAATAGGTGGTGCTCTGGAAGCACGCTACCTGACGCGGGAATCGGAGGATTAAATAAGAACTAAGGCAAATAAAATAACGTAGTTATATGATTTAAAAAGCGGACAATATTAAACGGGCAAAGAAGTGTACTTTTTTAGATTTGATGTATATTTATTTTTTTCCTCGATTACGTGTAGTATTTCAGCTTGCATAACATGACAACTCAAAATAACCAACAAGGGCTAGAAGTAACACAGATGGGTCGAACTCGTTTGTGTTTCAATCACTGGAGAGCTGTCGACTCAGCGTCATGTCACACGGGTCCGGACACACCTTCTCTAAAAGTTCCTTGGCATTCTCACACTCGAAATCTTCGTCGTATATCTTGTACACGGTACTAGGGCTCGGTCTGGTGATGTCTAAAATAAAACATTTGGGCATTGTCAAACATTTTGATAAAACAATAATAAAAAAAAACACATTACATATCGTCAATTGAGTGACTTTATAAAGTAAGCTGCTGGCGTATTAGTTTTAGACCTGTAATTGTCACGGGAAGACATGGAAGGCCATGACAATAAATATCTTCCATTGTAAACGTTTGAGAACGATCTGAGAACTTATTATAAATGTATAAATCACGAAAGCTGTACTAATTTTCTTGCAACATCACTCGAGCAAAGTAGAAGCGCGGAAATTGTCTTCGCTTTAAACTATAAATATCGCGCATAGCACAATTTGTCTACGCGCCGACGAATTCAGATGAAGATGCATGACGTAAAGGTGTATCATGTTATAATATATTGTTTGATTATTTTCAGTACATCAGCAAGTTATGCCGCTTAAATGCTCGCTCTACACTGGTAGAAAATAAACAACCGCAAGTTTGAACCACAAGTTCAAACTCAGTTGTCCGGTTAGGCTTAATCTGCCAATATGTGTGTATTGGAAAATAAAACTATTCTATTCTATTCTACAATTGATTGCTTTCAGCAACGTGATACACAAAAAGAAAGAAAACTTTACAATTTATGATTTTTTTTTACTATGTGTGTGGCTTGTTTATTATTGAGTATTGCAATATAATAGTTATGCTCGTACGTTCATAAAAATAGTCCTAGATCTCCGAGCTGTACTGAAGATTGAAATTTTTTCCATTTCAACTCGGACCCTTATCACATGTGATGTTTCTTTTTACAAAGAAGAACAAACAAAATACTGCCTTATCTTACCGATTTTAAGATAAAGTGTCTCGCCTTCGAACGGTTCAAGAACAGTGAAGTCCTCATTGACATCTGCAAGTAAGCAACTTATTATATTAAAAAAAAAACACAAAAATGACTGCCTGTTTTTTTAAAACAACCGTCTTGCCTGAGTTGATTTGAACCTCGTATGCGTTTATGTACTGTATTAATTTCTATATATTTTTATATTTAGAATTTAATAATCTAAGAGCCGGGTGCCTGCCAAGAAACGTAATTTCGCACTAAGATATTTTTTCAGCTTTTATGTTCTATTAATGATGTTGTGTTTTCACCTTTATATTTTTGAGTTTGAAAATAGGGACATGAACAGATTACATTGGCAGAAACTCTTTACACTAAGAAAATTTACAAGAGAATGGTGGATAAACAAACTAACGAAAATCATAACACATATCTAGTTTCTTTGGTCCTTGAGGTTTCGGTGGCGTTATGGCCTTTTTGGTTAACGACATAAACTGGTTACCGGTTTTGGTTGAGGTACCAACTTTGTACATGGTCATTGATCATGGGGAAGCAGCTTGCAACAACAAAACAACATGTACATCAAATTGAGTTATGCTTAGCCAGGCAAATGCCTCGACTACGAGCATTGGTATTTCCGGACGATTTCCTAGTAGGGATGAACGAAAATATTTCTAAGAGACTAGAACGCACGCCAGCAAGTAGAAAAGAAACAAGAGTCGTAAAAGACTTGAAAGGAAATCGCGGGGATCTCATACATTTACGAAATCACTCATGGATTAAAAAAGATAGCGGACAACAGAACGTACATGTAACATACCCTGCGCCACACACACTACTCCATGTGTGACTGGGTAACCAAGAGAACTAACCAGAAGAAAGCAAGCAGCATTGCTCATACAGAAAGATTTGCCCCAGTGCGAAACGGGCCGCCTTGGTGGCTCCGCGGCGAGAGCGCCGGCCTACTGGTCCCCATGTGGCGGGTTTGAATCCCGGCCGACCGAGGAGCCCGCAATCTGAGGGAGGCTTATTGCGGAGAAGGCGCCGAGTAACCGAGCTCTCGGTTGCCCGTCAAAAGATCCCCATGTTGTCGAAATTAATCCTCAATCCTCCACTGGGGCGTGCCAGATGTCGTCGTTGGTTTGGCGCATAAAACACTCAAATTTAGCTTTAGTGCGAAACAGGAGTAGTCTACCGGATTCATTTGTCGTGCTACACGTGTTAGGTCGGCAAAATGTGCCAATGTATTAGTGATAGAACAAGAGAACACGCAGCGGCGGTGAAGCGCACATCAGCAGGACACTTTCATCCCACTGCAAAACATGTGAGTATAGTCGAGCCTTTACCAGCGTCAGCATTCTTGCAAGTACAAAAATCTGCAACTACGGGACATGCTAGAGGCACTATACCTCGTTTCACCATAAGCCCGGACGCAGCCGACGCTCCCAGCTGGCGGGACCAATCAGAGAGCGTCAGAAACGCACCTTTATGGTGTTCGTCATGTTCTTTTACGTGTTTTATTATCACGCTGAACCAGTCATAAAAATAAATGCCCAGTGACTTGCGCTTTTGAAGCTGAGTGATTGGTCCCATTAGCTCGTGGCGTGGGCAGCGTATGGACTTAAGCTCAATCGAAGTACCGCTACCGAAAAATGTTAAGAATGCGTAAGCAGTCCTTCAATAACATTTTATCACAAAGGGAAAAACAAAACAAAATATATATGGTAGCACGGTGTGCTTTGAAGAAGTGCCCCGATTTGACAGTCCTTTTAGCACGCTTCACAACCAAGAAAAACAATATGTGCTATGTGCGAAGGAGGGCCATTGACTCGCCGTGGCTAATGATTTTTTTTTTTTTTTTTTTTTTTTTTACAGCGGAGTTGTTAAGGGCTAGGTTCCCCAGGATCGTTTCCGGTATGTCGACACAAACCTACCTGGACAGCTACCGCCATCCATAAGCGACGGCGGCAAGCACGCAACCAGTATGGTTTTCGCCGTCGCTCGTAGATGCCGGCAACCTTTCCAGCTATTTAGGGTGCCTACATGTCTGTCTGTCTCAGGGTGAAGACATCCATTCTCGCCCTGAATGTGCCAGCGCGTGGCGCTCTCGCACACTCGGTGCGTGACTTGAGCAGTAAAATGGCGTCTATGCATAAGCCAAAGCTACGCGCTCGAGCTGAGTTACACCGAATTGCGCGCACTTAAAAATGCATAAAAAAACCGATTGGGCGGAAAAATGGCTGAGATGTCACCACTCGAGCAAAAGCGCGCGTGTGTATGAAGGCACTCTGCAGGTATCACAGAAGAATTGATAGTTGGGCGCGTTGGTGGGACTTCATCGTAGGAAACAGCGCGAAAAACAGACGACAATGAAGAAGAAGCTCACGTGACGAGCGCAGCGCTCGTCACGTTTGTTTTTTTGTCCTCGTCTGTTTTGCGCGCTCTTTCCTACGCTCCTACGCTCTTATCAGATTCGGTTCGGAATCACGATGAGTCGGCCGCGAGCCCTTTCGCGGAAAGGTGAGACGCTGCGGAAGGAGCGCCGATGTACGCAGCAGCGCAAATGGGTCCGCAACCGCCGCAAAGCTGCTGTCCCTCGACTTCCACTGCGTCCAACGCTTCAGATTCCCTTGTCAAAGAGCACATCGCTCGCCTGGAAAGCCGCCGGCGGGTGAACGCCACGGACGACTATCGTGCCTAGGAAGCCAAGCGCAAGCTCGAGGCCCGGCGACGACTGCACTCCACGCCGGCTGAACAGGTCCCCGGGAGCGACGGCGGGGTTCCGGAGAGAGTTCGTGGAGAACGCGTTTGGCGTCACGTGCGCCGTGTGCGACCGACTCTGGTTCGCCAGAGACGTATCCACGATCGGCGGCGTGCCGGACGAGAAGACGCGGGAATCGGGCGCGTGCGGGTTGCGGCAGTGTATCGAGTACAGCTCCGCTGGTCTTCCTTCTTCGCGAGAGTGGAAAGGCTGAACGTTTTTTCTTAGTTCGTCTTTTTATCTAATTTATTTCCTTTTCTTATGTATTGCTTCATTATGAAATAAGTTTATTCTGGCTTAACACAACACAAAAATAACAAGAACAAAGTCGTTTCGCCACCTATCCAGAGGGCATCATCAGGATGCACTGACCCGGTGGTGGGGAAAGTCAAAACCAGTTCACTCTGATCCAACAGGTCCCCGTAAACGTCTGGTAGAGAACCACGGTTTGTGTTGCATGCCTTGCGGTCGCGGCGGATAAACCACGATTCCACGAGCTTCCTCGGGCCCCAACGCTGCTCACGAGCCAAGTTCGACGTATTGTCAAAGTCAAACGTATTCCCAGTAGTCCAGCTGTGGTCGACGAGCTCGGATTTACTTCTCGTGACGTGGGTGGCCTTCACCGCATTCCTTCTGTGCTCCTTAAGCCGGGTGCTTCTCCGTCTGCAGGTTTCTCCAGTGTACGTGGCGTCGCAGTCAACACCGTTCACCTTGTAAACCACACCTGTCTGGGTGTTGGCGGGGGTAATGTTTTTCAGCTTGGAAAACGCGTTCGCCAAAGTGTGCACAGGCTTGAACACAGTCCAGATGCCCAAATGGGTCAAAGCTCCTCAGACCTAGTCCGAGGTTCCTCGGACATAGGGAACGTACACTAGTGACTTTCTTTTGCCTCCAATGTCCACTCTGCACTGTTGCATGCGATTACGCGTCTCACTTATGAAAGATCCTGAATAACTGCGCCTGCCCAAGGAAGGAAGGATCCTTGTCAGTTCTTGGGACCGGAGATCATCATTCAGAGACAACACAACGCAACGCGACAACAAAGTCCGTACCACGGCGCGCTTGTGTTTCGCCGAGAGGTGGGAATCAAACCACAAAACATTTCCGCTGTCACATGGTTTACGGTACACTTCAGTCTCTACGGCACCACAACCCACCCGGCGCATCAATACGCCCACAAACGGCAGCACACAATCCCTTTCAGTTTCACACGTGAACTGGATAGCCGTATGAATACTATATACCGGCAAGTGGAAAGCTTGCATGTTCAGCTTTTTCAGGATAAGCGGAGATAACCTTTAGGTTATCTCCGATCCCGAGAACTGACAAGGATGTCCACTTCCTTCGGCAGGCGCAATTATCCAGGATGCTTCATAAGTGACACGCGGAAGCGCATGCAACAGTGCAGAGTGGACATTGGATGCAAAAGGAAGTCGGCAGTGTGTATTCCCTATGTCCGGGGAACCTCGGGCTCGATTCGAAGAGCTTTGACCCCTTTGGGCATGTGGACTCTGTTCAAGCCTGTGTACACTTTGGCGAACGCGTTTTCTAAGCCGAAAGACATTACCCCTGCCTACGCCCAGACAGGTGTGGTTTACAAGGTGAACTGTGTTGACTGCGACGCCACGTACATTGGCGAAACCGGCAGACGGAGAAGCATCCGGCTTAAGGAGTACGGAAAGAATGTGGTAAAGGCCACGCACGGCCACGAGAAGTAAATCCTCGCTCGTGGACCATCGCTGGACGACTGGGCATACGTTTGACTTTGACAATGCGGCAACCTTGGCTCGTGAGCAGCGTTAGGGCCCGAGGAAGCTCGTGGAATCGTGGTTTATCCGCCTTGACCCCAAGGCCTGCAACACAAACCGTGGCCCCTTACGGGACGTTTACGGGGACCTGTTGGATTAGAGTGGACTGGTTTAGACTTTCCCTACCCCCGGGCCAGTGCATAGTGATGATGCCACCCGGATAGATGGCGAAACGGCTGTGTTGTTGTTATTTTTGTGTTGTTAAAGGGACCATGAAATGATTTTAAAATCGAGTTTCATCCACCGCACGTCGTAAAAGGTGTGAAAAGAAACACAAAAACACAAAAATAGGGAGCCAAAAAAAATTCTTCGCTATAGAACTTTTAAAAGAAAACCGGACTCTTTTGCGCCTTCTTTCCTTCGGAAGCACTCAGCCTTTTCACTGCAGAAACGGTGCACGTCAGCCGAATCCACGTCGCCTATTGGGTAAGAGCCTACCTCACCAGCACCGCGATCGTAAACAATAAATAGCCGGCGAATGTTTCCTAAAAGTTTTGTTAAATAATATTCAGATCCGCATTTTGTAGCATAATTGGAGATTTGACGAAAATTGCCGAATTTGATAATGCTCAGAGCCAAGCGCCATCTATCGTGTGGTAAACGAAGCAAGAAAAACCCTACTACGCCTGCGCACTCAATCCCCGAGCGTCGTCGGCGTCGTCTGCTAGGCGGGTTTGCTTCTGGTCGCGCTTTCTTTGCGGAGCACTTTCGTTTTCTGGATGCTCGAGTAGTGTTTACGTTTGTGATCGATCGCTCGGTGGCTATGCCGAAGGGCTGCAGTGTACCGAAGTGCCCGAATTACAGTTCCTACAGTCCGGAGGTTAAAAAGAAACAACTGCTGTTTCACCGCCTGCCACTCGATGAACCACGTAGAAGCACCTGGTGCAGGCTCATCGGTTTGAGAGACCCCGAGTCTACGGTCATTCTTGTATGCTCAGAGCATTTTGACACCGAGCGTGACTAC